GCCGGATGCGGGGGGTAACCCTGACCTTGCTCTCGCGGTCAGCGTGAGCAACCGACGCTCGGCACGACACGGTGTAGTTCAGGCGCAGCGACGTGCTGCCGTTCCGACTAGCGGTACGGGAGAGAGAATACCCTATCGGTTCTTGAAACCAAACCTTTCACATCACTTGAGCACAACATTTACCCGAACAGGGTGTTCTTTTTATTTTATTGTATGTTAATATATCAAGCCATTTAGAACTGGCATGAAGGCCACAAAAATACTATTAAAATCTTCTACAGGTTTTGTTTTTTTTTTAAACATGCCATCTTAAGACAGTAATTCCAGCCCGAGATCTGTCAGGAGGGTCAAAGTTACCTATCCTGTGATGTCTGTTCTTTACACGTGACGCGGAATGGAGTGAGGGGACAGCAAATGGGGACCGAATGCAAAGAAACGGCAGTAGCAGTCAGTCAGGGATAGGTTGTTAGAAACATTTTTCGTATCTTCACCAAAATGATCTACAAAAAAACTCTGGTAGCCTGGTTCCAGCACTTTGAAAACATCTTGTTAATGCACTTGAACTCACTACGTGATGAGAAAGAGTAAAAAGACATGAAGCATTAAAGCGTCCTACGCATTTTGAGCATCCTCAGAAGACCATCTGTTTTAATTTCCAAAAATATTTAATGGCTGGCTAGACCACAAAATTCAATAAAATCCTCTTTAGTTGCAATATAAATTTAAAATCCAATATCAAGGTACTTTATTATATGAACATTTTATTACCTAGATTTTACAACCAACTAGAATGCACAGGTTTGGTTTACTATTAAAGTAAACAGGGCAACTTATCTCAGTTATTTCCTTTCTCTATTGCCTGCATTTTCTGATGGTTCAATAAAAAAAACATCATTCTGTTTTTTTCTAATATTTCAAGGAAAATTGAACTTTATCTTTTTATTAGCACTCTAGGAAGAGCTTGTTCTTGGGCAAAATAATCTCTGAAGTCAGAGGAATACCATGTGGCCTTTACATGCTGAAAAAAAGGGGGTCAAAGGAGGGTAAGAAAAAAAATATGTAGAGACTTTAAAATGCACATGTGAAAGGGGACTGCAAAATGACAAAGTACATACAACATCTGTTACTGTAGAGTCAAAATGGATTGTTTCACTTCTCCCTTTTGATCAGTCGTGATCATTTATGCTTCCATTTGCCTTTATATTCTCTTCTTGGTACTTGTGAAGCTGCTCCATGAAGCCAGGATTTGGACAAGCCGCAGGCCTTGCGTTTTTCACCAAGGAAAAGGCTCTAGCAAAACTCAGTCCTTCTGAATTCATTAGAAAACCGATGACTACTGCCGCTGCACGGGAGACTCCTGCATTACAGTGGACCAGTACCACACCACCCTTCAAGAAACAAATGAAACATAAGTTGGGATATTCATTAAGTAGGTAGCAACAAGTATTAGAAACTTTACACAAAAATCTATTAAGACTTATTAAAAGCTCCCTGCTGAGCTCAAAGCAAATATTTACACATTTAAGTAACTCCAAACACAGATATATAAGCCCCAAATTGAGTATTTTTCTAACCAAAGCCACTTGATAATTATCAAATACTTCAAACCTAATTCATACCTTAGAACTAAAAAACACTCCTCTGTCCCTTTCCCCAAGACCTTGGGGAGCCCCCTGACATAAAAACCAAATCACAGATGGCGGGGATACTAAGATAGCTGATCTAACTGGGTGCCAATTTTAAAGTAGATTTCATTTGCAATATGGAAAGGAACTTGACTGTATCTTGTTACCAGGTTAAAAACATAGCAAGGCAGCAAACAGCTAGGCACAGGGGCAGATCTTAGAACATCTTGTAGTTTCAGTCGCACGCTTCTTGCGTACTCTGGAGTTCCTCAGTGAAGATTCTGGGTAAGCAGGATTGTGCACAGGAACAGAAAAATCAGAAAAGATATCGTGTGATTTGCAACAAATCTCTACCTCTCCATCACACCGCTGGTACAACTGTAGCTGGTACAACTAAGGTCCCTTAACTGGGGGACTAAGGTGCAAAAGCCAAAACTACTGAATCTCCCATAAATTCACAGATGTTTCTCCTGGGGTTTAAATTCAGGCTTATCCTGAATTATCTATAAAACTAATGTTATTATCCTACTTAAAACATTTCCCACACAATCTTTGAGACACCTGAATGACTCTTTAAAAAGATGCTGCAAGTTTCATTAAGAAATAACGGGTGTGATTTAACAAAAAGACTAGACAATCCAGTATGGCTGAGGTGACGTTTGCAAGGCCCGGGCTTCACGATGTTGTCATGTTTATACGTCAGACTACGACCTGGAAAAGGTTCGGTCCAAACTGCCTGCCAAATGCCACTTTCACAAAAAACAACCCCCAAACCCCTAGCATCTCCATATTCTGAATAAAGACACTGAAACATGACACAATGTGCTCAGATACTTGAGGCTAAACAAATGGGTTTAGATATAAACAGCCTGCTCTGTCTGCCCTCAACAGGCACAAATTATTCAATGGACATTTTACCCAGAGGAAAAAAAGACCTTATAACCACCAGGGTTCCTTTTCAGGAACTTGATGGCGTATGTTACAGACCTGGCAGTTGCAATTATCTGGTATATTAATAAACACACGGAGCAGAAAATGGTTCCTGCTCCAAAAATCTTCCAGTTTAAATAATAAGACAAAGAAGTATGAAACTGAGTGTTATCATCCTTGTTGAAGAAATGCCAAGCTGAGACTAGAAGAATGACTTGCTCAAGTTAACAGAATAGTATTATGGCAGAGCTAGGAACCGAATCTAAGCTCCTGCATCCCAGCACAATGAGTCACAATACCACCGTTCTTTGCAATGGAAATCACATCCCCTTTGCACTGCCTGCTGGAAATTGTAATCTTCGTTCCCTTTCTCACATTCACAGGGGCATGCTTCCTGATCACACAGACTACAGCAGAGTGCAAAGCAGACTTGTACCTGTATTTCAGCTACCTGGGGAAGTGCCAGTGGTGACCTGTAAATCCATTATCTCCTTTATAAATAATAATGACATTAAAAATGATACTTATGCCACTGCTAATAAAGCAATTGCTGAAGCTTATCCACTGTAGATCTGGAGTGGTTTTTACTGATTTAATGGGAGTTATTTCAGACATAACATACCATAATCAAGATCAGTATCTAGGAGTGGCACTGAGGGTAAAAAAAAAAGCATTGAAAATGATCCTTTTTTTTTTTTTTTCCTTTGTACAGTTCATGCTTTATTTTCCTCTTTCACATTTCTTTTAAGTTTTGGGGTTTTTTTAATGACTGTTCTGTTGTACCTTGCCAAAAATTATATAGTAATATCCACGGAACAGACCTGAAAATTACTGAACATGAATGAACATGGGCAATAACATTAAACCAAATTTAATACTGAGAACATTTATCTTCCTTGCTAAACCCCATTGTTTCTTTATACAAAGATGAATTTGGCATGTAATTCTTAACTAATTTTGTATTAGATATGAATACAGAATAAAAGTGAGAAACAGATTGCAGATATGAAATTAATCTCTATTTACCAAGAACTCCTTGCTCTGATCCTGACAGCCTAACCTTTGCCTACCCAGAAATGGTCCATGGTCTTGCAAGAACCTCTTAAGATTCAAAGACCAACTTGTTTTTTTTAAAGTTTTTATACAGAGGGAAGCAAAATCACCTTCCACCAAGAGAAAAGGTGATCATAAGGTGGTTAATACACAGTGGGCAAAAAGCCTCACCGAGGAAAGAAATGAAAAAGAAGCATAAAGCTTTTGGTGAAGAGCCATGGGCTAATGTAGTTCCTTAGGGATCCGCTTTACTTTGCAGTGGTGCCAGGGCTTTTTCTTTAGGAGTTACAGAGGGAGCAATAAGGAGGGATGTTCATGAATGAGCTAAGATTTCCTCCCTGGAAAGCCAAGATTTTAGAGGTTTTATAATCAGATATTAAACAGAAAAATTTAAAAAAATCCCTCATTCACAGCACTATGATCACCTAACATGTCATGGAAAATATGCTTGCCAATGTGGAGCCGAGAAGAAAAGGTGAGCTCTGATCAGTATCAGAATTTGTACCATGGTGTCTGCAGACTCGAGCAGTTAGTTTTAGGGAAGTCAGTCCTGTTACAAGTACTGACTGGCAGTGACTTACTGAACAGTGCAGGCTTTACTTGTGTTCTCAAACTCAAGTGCTCTCATACTCCTTCATCTAGTTAACCACGTTCTAGTAATCATTTCTCATATATCACGCTCTGTCACGAGTGAACATCTCTCCCTCCTCCACGTTAAGGAGACGAAACAGTAGTGTCTCTTTGTGATTCCTTAAACAGAAGAGCACTTCATGATACAAGTTATCATAAGCTCTTTTAACACTACTTTGACAAAGCAAATAAAGTGATTCAAACCACCCAGAGATCTATCTCCGCATACTACTATCACACGCTTCATGAACTGATCCTGGAGAACACCTGTTCCATCAATTACCTGCTCTTTTACCCAACTTTCCCATTAAAAAACTATTAATATTGCTGTGAAGTTTTCAGGAAAACAAAATAGTAATTGGAACATAAACACCAGAGGCAGAAAGCCACACTGCAGTTATGAACGGCAAGTCTCGTTTAGAAATGAAGTGGAAACCGTAACTAGAAACCTTGAAAAGGTCATTAAGTGACAATGTGTATCACATAGCTCGTAAATGATAAATGAGAGAAGGAAAGAACATTGTGTGACACAAAGAAAGCCGGGGCAAGACTACCTTCTTTTATCCCAATCTACATAAATAATGAATATGGTAGATATGGTGGAATAACGTGCAGTAAGGTTTGGTTGTCAAGTCACAGTGTTGATACCAAAGAAATGGTTGTCAGGAATTACAGACTAAGCCCGAATTTAACAAATAGGGGTCAGGGCTGCCAAGCAACCCCAGAAGGAGTCCCTTCACCCCATTCCTATGTCATGTCTTTTTCAGCATTTTGTTAGCAGTTAAAAATCACTGGTTGGCTCCAAGACCACTAACACATTCTCTGACAGTCTTGGTACATAATTGCACGTGGATTCATAGCTCAACGTGTTGCCTCTTCAACGGATGATCAAGGAAAAGCACAAGGATGGTGGATGGCTGCTGACAAACCACGCAGATCTGGAAAAGCCCTGTTAGGCTTGCTTCTAATCCAAAACAACATCCCCAATGGATAAATTATAGAAAGTAAAGTTTCTCCTTTTCCCTCTGTCAGATGTAGTGACTTGGACTTACGATGGGATTTCTTTATCTAAAGTCAGCCACCAGTCCAACTGTATTAAAAAACATTTCTCTAAAACATGCAAGGTGGTCATTCTGAAGAAACAATACTGGAGGGAATGGGGATTAACAGCGGTGCCATGTCTCTAGGAATGCCTAGAAATTGCTTGGATTCTCTATTTAAAATTTTAAAAGGCAATGGCAAAACTGTTCATTTGGTACCATACTTTCTTTTGACAAAAGAAGCTGCTTTAGATTTTAAATAGTGTAATAAATATAATAAATAATCTAAACAGGATAACTACTAACATTAATTATTGAATTGATATACCGTACCTGGATCTTGGCTTTCTCAATAAACTCAAAACATTCTGGGAAATAGGAGGTAATATCAGTTTCTGGGAGGTCCAGAATAGAAATGGTCTTGTATATAAAGTCATCGAGGAAGGCATTTTGGACTCCGTATGCCACATTTAGAACATGAGTAACCTAAGTCCAAAAAAAAAAAAAAAAAAAAAAAGAAAAAGGCATTTTCTGAAGACAGCAAGCAAAATGAGCAGTAGCAAAGGTGAATTATTCTTCAGGCATACATAGACTGTACCTTACACAACTGCAATGTTCAATTTTACATACATACGCTGTCTATGGTATGCGTTTCTCCAAGCAAAGTTTTAATGTGTGTTAAAATATATTGTGATAAATTTCAGTTTCCTTGTTTTTTTGAGAGGAAATGAAAAGACCTGTGCTCAACCAAAGACAGACTAAAGTAAGGATTTTCAACAGAAGAGGGAGTTATCAGCGCACAGATGGAAAATAAAAGAGAACGCAATAGGAATGAGAGCACAGACCACCCAACAATCCCCCAAATGTCAAGCCTGCCCTAACCCATCAGCTTAATGTCCCTCCTCCTGAGTTACCAGCACCATTTGCTGGAGCAGAAGGATTTCAGAGTAAACTCTACCTGCACTCGGCAGGCGAGACCACCTCTGGCCTCCTGCCACCTTTGCTCGGTTCAGGCTACGGCCAGGTTGTGGGTTATTTTAACTTACAGCGCAGTGACATTTAGATGGCACCAGATGCCAGACTGGTGCACTCCCTGTCCTGCAGAAGCACCACTGTCCGAAGGCCTTATCACCCCATTACTGTAACAGAGAAGAGTAAAAAGACCAAAGTTCGGGACAGACTTAGGGCTGCTGCTTTGTTTTTCTTGTTTCACCCGTCCCCGCAGGCGAGGAGGCCTGGTGCTGCTCAGTGGCTGGAGCGGAAAGGTGTATGGCAGCGCGGGGGTCTGTGCCAGGGAACAGCTCCAACTGCCAGCGGTCCTGCAGCAAAGTATTCCAGCCTCCTGTGAAGCTCAAAGGCACCCACCCGTCTGCCAGCGGAGCCGCCTTTTAAACGTGCGAACATAACACAACTTTTCTTAAATTGAGAATATTCTAGACTTTTTAACTTGAAAAAGAAATCCACTAGCAAGCACTACGCCAGCTGCGTTTTTATTTCCCTGCAACGTTACCTTGTGCT